CACTCCATCGTATCTGTGAAGTGCTGGACTTCTCTTAGAATGGGCAATGTGAAAACCAGACGGATTTGCCTCTGCTGTTCCCTAGGATACCTGCAGGAAGTATCTATTTGTCCTGATGACACTCCTACACACTAACTAATACCTGACTGCTGCATGCAAACAATGTTCTGCTCACGCATTCTGGACTCGCACAGTGTCAGCACTAGAGTATCTAAATTAGCTGCTGTCCATGGAATTGTTCTGAATTCAGAATGCTATCTAGGGGCTTCAGCTAGATTTTAGCCACTCCTCCTCTGCTGCACAGAATGTGACTCACTCGTATTAGCCATTCTGTTTCCCAGGCAGTGCTTCCTACCTGTGGTTTGTAGACCCCAGCTCAAACATGCATAGTAAGGGGAGTGAAGCAAAGTTGTCCGTATAGAGCTTGTCTACATTAGCAAAAAAGTGAATGATGTAAAAACAAACACATTGAAATATCCTAGTGTACTATTAATAATACCTCTTATATAGCGCTTATCTGTTGATCTCAAAGTGCTTTAGTTCGACTTTGACTTAACTGAGAGTTAGTTTCCTGCCCGAGCTAATTCAAGAAAATACTTACATTTGCCCGGTCTACTCTAGCATTTTATGGCATGTTAGTTATCACATAAATAGCACCGCTTTTTTCCTGGTGTACAGGTACCCATCCATTACTGTATCCATAGGGTAGGTTATGGCGCTGCAGAAAGAGCCAATGTTGCTATACGTAGAGTACTGCAAAAGTTATGGTGCAACCGATGTCAGCGCAGGGCAAATGTCTTCAGCATTTTCTGGATGAAGAGTCCCATTTCTAGCAAAACAAATTAGTTCAGGTGTGGATAGTGCATTCAGTTGCCTTAATTCATCTGGGAATGCTGGAATCTATAAAAACCAAGGATTAAATAAACCCAGGGGAAAGATTTTAAAGCTTACAAAACCTATTTAAACCTGTAAATGAATAATAAGGAAATCAAAGGAAAATCCAACAAAACTGATGAAAATTAAGAACTTCTCTAGCATTAGGTATTAACAGCAATACCTTAAAGGAACCCGTCCTTGTTTCTTGAAGGGGAAGTATTAGCAGTAATTTTATTAGACTTTATACCATGACAAAAGAAAGAGAAATGAAAACATCTGAGCATTTCTCTTGTAGCCCTGACCTTCTCTTTGTTAAGAAACATTGTCCAGCTATAATATGTCTTAGTGTAACTATTTTCTCATATGTGATTTGAATTCAGTTAGAGAAGAGGAGTGAAACAAACAGCCTCAGGCACAAATGGCCTTTGTATCAAAATGTGGGGCCAAAATTTCCTGTATAATTAACTGTCCATGGAAACTTCACGTTGGTACACTACCTTGAGATTCCAAGTTATGAAAATGTGGCCATGAAGGCGAAGGGTCTCAAATTATCCCACTGACGTGAATGGCCCAAATTCATCCCAGGGGGCTCAATGGCAATGGATTTGCACGAGGGATGAATTTGGCCCAGTGGGTGTGGACCGAAATCTAGTGCCACTGAAGTCACTGGAGTTTTGCAATTGATTTTGAGAGGAGCAGACTCGGATCCAAAGAGATCTACTTCACTGCACATTCACTTTGTAAAGTGGGTATGAAATGGTGAAATAGTGTCTGGTCTTTCATTACTGCATAATAGTGAGTTAATTATTTGTTCCATCTGGCAAGTACCTGGCTTAAAACTGAACGTGACTTATTTGCTGTTGAGAGTGCAGCTAGCTGGTCAGCAGCTAAAGCTTTTGCTAGAAAGGATTTTTGCTTTGGAATCACTCTGTGAGCACATGCAGCCTGTGTCAGGGCTGAGATATCGGCTTGCTGGCTGCTTCGGGAGCTCCTCTCTCCCTTCCACAGACTTTGCCTGGGGCTTCATAACTATTTTGTTTGCCTGTGTTTCTTGGAGTATGAACTGCCAGGCTTGTGCCTTGGGTTGTCAGCCCAGGCTGTGAACTGTGACAATTAAACCAAATTCCCTATTTGTGTAACTGCCTCAATCTCTCCATCTACCTTGGGGTTCACTGACATGTGAACATCCCATGCGGACTCTCTGAGAGGATGAGCAATCTCGTAATGCACTTCCCATTAACAATCCTACTTCAAGGATGTGCTGGGTGGATAGATGAGAGAGGTGTCTAAATGTCATAGGTAGAGTAAGCATGTCAGGTGCAATCATCCACACTGCCATGAGCAGATGCAATGATGGGATCAAAGGTCTAAATCTCAAGCAAATGGAAAAGAACAACAGATAGTGACTAAAATAAAATGTCTTAGCCGCAAGCTAATGTCTTTGTTCCTCTTTTTTACTTTCCCCTGTTGTGGTTTGGTTTTTCACTCCCTCCATTTCCTTCTTTCACTCTCTCCTGGCTCATCCAAAGATATTTAATATTCTTATTTAAACTTAGGGGTTTTAACAATAAGCCATTTAAATCCAAAGCTTTGTGTTGTGCCCAGTATTGAATAAAGCCTGACCGATTTCCCTGCTGAAGACATCGCGTTCTCCTCTGCACTGACACAGCTCACAGATATGGTGTTCTTTGCTGGGAACACAAAGCTTTTCAGTCTGGGAACTCAAAGCTTTGAATTAACTCTGTGGAAAATTTCTTTTATTCTGGCCTCTTTTGAAACCTTTAGGATTGCCATCTCCCCCAAAAGAACTATTAGCAGGCCCAGGGATGTCATTACACCATGGCATGGTTTCAAGATTGTAAACTCTTTAGGGCACAGACTCTGTCGTCCTATACTTTCGTAAAGTATCTAGCTCGAGTATATCTGAAAGCTATTCCCATGCCAACTGGTTCTACCCCTCAGCCATTTTGCTGTGAAGCTGTTCCAAAAATGAGAGCAAGGAATGGGGAAAGTATCATTTTCCACTCTCTTCACTCTCCAAAGCTGAATGATTTTTTCCCCTCAAAATGTCAAAAAATAAATAACATTAAAAAATTGTCACCTTTGAGGCGGAAACTAAGCCTTGAACATTTCAGGCTGTATGGGGACTATTTCAGCTGAAATGCAGCTAAAAAGAAGGATTCAGAATGGAGGCAGTTGATCGTAACACTGGTTCCTGCTCCAGCTATATTGTTTGTGACTCTGCTGAAGCTGGTACCTGAATGGAACAAAAATAGTTGGGGTAAATGGACATCGTTGGACAGCAGGAGCAGGAAAGAAGAAACTGCCTGAAGTTGTGTGTCACAGCTGTCTAGAGTAGAACCAAGCCTGTGGAGTCTACAGGCTTCATGCAGAATGGAGTCTTCCAGTGCTGGTTGTACTGAATGCTCTTCAGAGAACAGGTTTTTCTCTCACAAATGTGAGAGAAATGCCAATGTGGCAAAGGTACAAGTGGTGTTTCTACACAAGGGGACAACTGCTGCTGCTGGAATTGCAGGTGCCAAACCTTTGTGATGAAACAACAGTTCCTTGCACAAACCCAGAGAAAAAGGTGGTCTGGAAACACATACTTGCATAATACCGTATTTCAAAATGACAAAAGGCTTTTGAAGCTGTCAAGAATAAGGTTTTGTCCATCTCTCATCTTTCAACAGTGCAGGCAGGCAACATGAGTGATGGCCAATGAGACAGGCACTTCAAGTGGAGAGAGTGGAAAAGACATTGCTAATATTTTGTAATTGCTGTATGTAGTGCCACCAATATGCCTCATTTAGTTTACAGAACTCATTTAAAAAAAAAGTATTTATTTAGGAGCTATTAAGAGGTTTACAATTCCTTGCCATGTAACCATCAGAAACAAAACAGTTGTTACAACAGTGAGCTTTTGCTTAAGGAGACATTATACAGTAAAATAGTCATCTGATCGCCCTATTTACCATACTGTAAAGTGAGCACCATTACAACACCCATGACGTGGCGTTTCTAGTGATTTTATTAAATTGAGTGAACCCTCTGATTTACACATAGTTAACAGACCAGGTCTGTCTATCAAAAATATTAATATTCAAAAAAATTGGACAGGTGTGCTTGGTTTTTTGCAGTTGAATGTACTTTGAGTATTGAGTAAAAGGTAACCAAATATCTAAGTAGCTATTTGTCCCCTGTCCATTTTGCAGGATATGTATTTGATCTGTTAATTTTTTCATAACGACAACCTCTCATATGCTTTGAGCCATTCCTCAATGGTTGGACTATTTTTTTTCCAATGGGAGACTGTCAGATGCCAAGTAGCTACTAGCAGATGAGGGATTAATTCTTTATTTCCTTTTGTATGACCATTTCATCTAAGAAACCCCAGGAGAATGGCCAAACAATTGTTTGGTAATAAATATCCAACAGGCTGTGATATGTCGTTATGGATTAATCACATTGCAATAGTGTCTAATGACTGGACATGACCACTATATATGCATAAAATCTCTTTCACAACAATTTCTCCATTTATCCCCATTCAGTCTCTCTCTATTTTTTAACCTGACTGGTGTGAGGTACCAATGAAACAGTATCTAAAAGAAAATTGAGGTTGCTGATCACCTTTTCTAGATCAAAACCCATTCCCCTTGGGGTAATTTTGTCTATCCAGGTCCTTTTCCCATCATGTCATATATGGACACTTGTTATGAAAGTTGTCTGTAAAGTCTGATATAAATGAGTTTATATATATATATAGTGGGTGTATATGTTTCCTAATTGACCAGATGCCATCGCTTCTATTAAAGTTAGCTTTCTGTATAAAACAATTTTGCTGGAAAGCTGAGATACATAATACCTAACTTGAAACTACTGGGAGAGTGAGCCAGGTAAAGTTAGTTTTGATCCCTAAATAAGTTAGAAAAGTTTCCTTACTGAATAGATGGCCAATGTATTTCATGGCTCTCCCAAACTTTAAAGAATGCTCTCTGGTTCATAATTTGGGTTGAGGTCTGGATTATTTGCAATGGATGTCACTGCTAAGGGAAAAGAACTTTCAAAATTGAATACAAACATAAATCAGTGCAACTTCATGTAATCTCCCTATTTTACAGATGGAGAAACTGAGGCACAGAAAACACAAGTGACTTGGAGTGTCACTGTCAGAGCTGGGAAGAAATTCCAGGAGTAGAGTCCCCTGCAGTATCCACTGGACATCTCCCTTGTGCAGGTCTGCATATCTGCATATTTTTTGGAATCAGGTGGTGTTTTCAGTGTGGCATATCATGTAATTGTGTTGAGTATATCTGGAATGTTAAACACTTATTTTGAGTTGTAAGCCTTTTGACCCAGTGCCAATAATTATGTGCTATTGGGAGGCAGGTTTAGAGAGAGAATTAATGATAATAATTATTAACAATGAGATTTGCCTAAATTTTAAAGCTGTCATTAAATTGTTTTGCCCTTTCTTTACTGGTATCTAATTTTTGCTCACTATATTTCCAATATATTTTACTAAGATATAATACATGTGGAGTTTATATTGGAATATGTCAAAAATCACAATTTCCCTTGCATTCCATGTCTGCTTGGAAACACTGACTTAAATACAACTGCTCGAGTTTCGGCATGTTTAAATGTACCTTCTTGAATGAAGAAAAACTGCACAGCCAATGAAAAGAGGTAAATGCAATTGAGAAATAATCCCTGCAGCAGATCATATTGTTTGGTAACCTTTTGCACAAGTCTCCTGATATTATATCGCATTAACAAAGCATACATGCAAATGGACAGTGTTGTTATTTATTACTGTATTGAAGAAAGTTATGCCTATAGTTATTGAGGTGGGTTGTGTGTACCCTGAATGACAGTCTCCAAAATTCCCCAGTAAGAAACATTTCAGGCTGAATTTATTGAAAATAATTCAGATAATGATCTCCCTCGCTTACTCGCTTTCAACGTTTGTGTACCTCCTATCTCAGCAAAAGTGAAATGGTTCCTTTGGAAGTAGAATTCCAGCCCCCACCCACTCTTAAAGTACATAGTGAACAGTAGCAGCTCTATGGGATAACAGATAAGTTGTGAGCCTGATCAGAATGGATCAATATACCAGAAGAGTCAGCAATACTAAAGACTTCCCATGAAACTGAATGACTCTTAGATAAAAGTAGCCACAGCAGATAACAAATGGCCACATTCTACACTGAGTTACACCAGTGCATGTCAGGAATGGCTTCACTGAAGTCAATCAAGTCACGCCAGTGTAACTCAGAGCAGAATTTGGCCCCTAGGTTTGCTTACATGTTTGAACTGAAGGTGTATGTCTGTAATCGCTGATTGATTTAAGTCTGATCCCTTTCAGATCAAGGCTGCGTGGGCGTGGGGGGGGGAGAGAGGTGACTGTTTTCATCTTTGTTTAGTTTTTAATAACTCTGGGTTTTAGAACCTACACTTATTATTGAAGCAGCTGACAAGGGACCTACTGCAAAATCCACTTTTATTGAAGCTGAAAAGGTCAGTTTTGTTGAGCGTTTCCATGGTGAAAATAATAAATTGAACATATTCAGACTTCTCATGTTATTCAGATCTGCCGGTTGGGCTGACCAATGGAAAGATTTTTCTGGTAGTTATTTTAGTGGCATCTTGTTGTAGAGCTTTCTCCTGGACTTTCTGTTATCAAAGACCAATTGTCCAGTTCCTTAAGCAGGGTTAATTAGTCCTATTATTGCCACAGTATTGCCTAATGACGAGATGTTATCGCCTGCATTGAGGAGCATTTCAGATGGGTTGTGTAGAGGCAGAATCCAAGTAGATATGTTCCTATTTTCTCACCGAGAGCCTGATCCTACTCCAAATGAACCCAGTGGAAAGACTCCCAGTGACTCAAGTGCACTACACAGGTGAGCAAACAGTCTGCCCCTACATTTTTATTACCTGGGCTAGTTTAAGACCCGAGCCATCTCCCACTGAAGTCAATGGGAGCTTTGCATTTTCAGTGGGAGTTGGATGAGGCACTTAGTGGGATTGATTTCAGTGGGATTCTTCAGGTGACTAATTGCTTACCCATGTGTATAAGAGCTTTATAATCTGCCCCATAGTCTTTTACCATTTGAGTACTATGTGGATACCAGTAAGTAAACAGCCAGAGCCTTAGAATTCTGTTATCTGTGTACTGCACCTTTAAATGTGAGGAGTCTTTCTCCTTGCCTACTGGTATAGACAGGGCCGGCTCCAGCTTTTTTGCCTCCCCAAGCGGCGAAGAAAAAATAAATAAATAAAAAGATAAAGCCGCGATCGGCGGCACTTCGGCGGCAGATCTACCGCGTCGCTTCATTCTTCGGCGGCAATTTGGCAGCCGGTCCTTCCCTCCGAGAGGGACTGAGGGACCCGCTGCTGAATTGCCGCCGAAGACCCGGACGTACTCCCCCTTTCCATTGGCCGCCCCAAGCACCTGCTTCCTGTGCTGGTGCCTGGAGCCAGCCCTGGGTATAGACCAGCAGAAAATTACTACCTGTTCCCCAACAAGGAGAGAGCAGAGAGGAATGGTGACTTGGAGGGCTGCCTCCAGGGACCACTTGTAAGGATGTTTCAGGACCACCAATCCAGCCTACAGATTACCTTATGAACCTAGCAAAGCAGACAACCACTACTTGCTATAGCAGACAAAAACCCCTGCTAACCCTGAGACCTGGTCCACACTAAGCCCCCAGTTCGAACTAAGATACACAACTTCAGCTACATGAATAACGTAGCTGAAGTCGAAGTACCTTAGTTCGAACTTAAAAATACTTACCGCGGGTCCACACGCGGCAGGCAGGCTCCTCCGTCGACTCCGCCTACTCCTATCGCAGAGCGGGATTACCGGCGTCGACGGCGAGCACTTTTGGGATCGATTGCTGGCCGCCGAACCAGCGGGTAAGTATAGACGTACCCTGAGTTTAAATCCAGGGAAGAGGTTTATACCCCAGTGATCAGCTGGCATGGAACAGGCCAATGAGTTGGCTGCATGTAGACACACCAAAAGCTGTATGTAAACAAAGGCAAAGTTTAAGTCTCAGTACAATCTTTTTATTCCCAAGATAACACCCTCCTCTCATTCCTTATATAATAAGTAGTAATATTTATGACCAAATATGATATTTTGCGTTACACGCTAGATTAATTTATATTACATGTTTCTTTACTTATTCCCAATAACAATTGACTGGGACTTTTGGGACTCTCCTTGTTTATCCTGATTATATCTGGCAGGTTACAGTAACCTCGTCCTTGAGCTCTACCTAGATCAGAGTACTGAATAACAGGATATCTAGTAAGCCAAAAAGGCTTTATTTGCACTCCTTCCGAGAAAAGTTATTTAAAAATCTTATTAACCACACTAAACACTAGGCCAAAGATTATGTTGCTTATGCATTTGCTTAGATATTACTTGCTAATATGCAATATATATAATCTATTAAATATATGTAGACCTGTACCATTCTAAATGAGGTAAGTTCACCTCATCACAGTTTCATTTCCTTACACCACTTCTTGGATGGAGCAGCTTACCCACCATGCCTAGTCCTGGGCTGTCTAATGGCACAATCTACCTCTATTGTGTTTAAAAACAAGTTTTATATTTCACATACTTTCTCTATTTATTTTCCTCTTTCATTATGACTACGTGCCAGAGACGTGAAAATAGGGTCTTCCTTTCTTAAGAGTCTGTCTGCTTCTGCCACTCATTTCATTTTTAATTGGCTCTTCCTTTGCACATTCTTGATCTCCTCCTACAGCTCTCTCTTGATTACAGTGTACTGTGGTGTCTCATATGGGGTTTCTTGGTTTCCTTAATATCAAGCACTGTGATTGCAAAAACCTTTACAACCTCATTAAGGGTACCTGTTATAACCTTCCCTTTGCTAACATGTACACTTTGTAGGATTGAGTCTATATTTAAATTATTTAATATATACAGGAAAAAATCTCATTGCCAGATAATGGGGAGAAAGCTCTATTTCACAGTCAGAATATAATCTGGCCCTATATTTGATGGCAGTGAGTCCAGAGTGATGATATCAGTGAAATATTATCAAAATTCTGAACAGCTTTTACAGCATTTTAACTAATAGGATTGAAGTATGCAAATTAACCACATGGTTAGCTATTATATCATGTCACAATCCCACCACACATCTGAGCTCCGTAAATTACATTTAATAAATATCAACAGTGTTTTTTCCCTACCTTTCACTACCAGAATCTTGCAAACAGGAGACACACGAGAGAGAGTGGTAGTGAAGTCAATGGGAGTTTCCCTGAATAGTGAAGGAAGATCAGATTCTAAATTATTTGATTTTAAAACAGGTGTGTGTTGTTCACATTTTGGGATAATCTTTGAATATATAAAACTAATACATAGAAAATTGTCTAAGCTGTTTGCCCCCACACTGCAGGATTCTAGTGACATAATGAACACTTCAGTCTTCTGGCTAATATGCTGTCATCCAAGCTGCTGCCCATACTGTGCCTGTAGACTACACAACAGGCAATTGTGAATTATAGACCTATGCTGTAATTCCATCAAGAGGTGGTAACACCATAAGCAGGAGGCTGAACCTTTCAGCATTTTGTATAGTCATCAGGACCTTGAGGCTGAAATTCTGTCATATTAATTCAAAATCTGCCTGTTCTAAAATTTATATTCTTGGATCTGTGCCCTTTATGGCATGCTCTCCACTCTGTTCTCACTACTGCTGCCTCCGCTCCAGCTCGCATTGCTGCTCACCCCCGAGTGACCTTCCCTACCTCTCTAGAGGCTTTTCTCTAACCAGCACAAGAGCACAAGTGGTGGATGCAGGGAATTGCTGAATCTCACATTTCACCTGCAAGATGCAACCACATGTGAACTAAGGGTATTGGGGTTTTTTTTATGTACAGTAGTTTGTACTGTGTTTAACATTGTAATCCTTATGGCTTTTATATCTTCCAGTTCTCCTATATCCTTATACCTGCCAATTTCTCTGTGTGTGAAGGATATGGCAGAGTATAGTTCAAAAGCAATAACATAATACTCCTCCCTCGTCTATCTCCCCCCAACCCAATCTTGCAGTCCATTCTGAGTCCTTCCTCAGTCAAGTTTTGCTTGCATTTTATGTGAATCTTTAAAAAAATCAAATCAAATAGCTTTTAGCTATTATTGCTGACTTCAGAGGTATTTTTTCAGTCTACATAGCTGAAAGTGGTTTCATTTTTGCATCCAATGAAATGTGAATTGACAACTGAAGAACTATATGGCAGCTAGATTTCAAATTTCAAATTACTCACCACCAGTTAGAGTTTATACAAATATGAAAACACACACACACACCTCAGCACAGTTGTGTATTACTCTGTGCAGAATAGTTTTGTTAAAAGCAAAAGAATTCACAAGTTGGAAAAAATAATGTTATTTTGCCATTTTCCAATGACATAAGAACCAAGCCAATGTAAATGCAACCAGTTTAAATGGACAGCTAAACTAATTTTAAAAGATCAAATGCAGTTCTAGATCAAGTTAACATAAAGTCCCAGTTAGTATGGAACCCCATGGTTCCTAAAAGAGTATGGAGACGTGTACACAACATAAATGATATGAAATTAGATTCCTGCCCCCTTCTCCTGCAACATAAGCCCAGCCTAAATTGCCAGAATATTACTGTGCTGTATGTTACAATCTGAACAGGAAAGGACATGATCTATAAGGAGCAACTATATATAGAGAAAAATATAAATGTATTGATTATTATTTACATTATGGTGGCACCTGGAGGTCCTGTTGTGCTAGGTACTGTACAATCACATAGGAAGAGACAGCTTCTGCCCTGAGGAGCTTACAATCAAAATAGACAACCCAGAGAAAGGGTAGGAGAAAGAGAGTATTACCAGCCCCATTCAGTGGATCTTGAAGCGCAAAAGAGAAAGATTAAGTGACTTGCTCCCTTTATAGCTCCGTATTTCTTTCTGTGGGTTTTTTGTAACCTTCCCCCCCTCCTGACCCAGTTCTCCTGCCCCAGTTCTCCTGCCTCTCTGAGCAAACGTAATGTACAGCTCCATGTAAATATCAAACATTAAGTAATTACTGGGTTATTTCAGCTGCAATGCTGCTAATAATGCATAATATCTGAGAACTACAGCTTCAAATGTCGGTATGCTGTGTTAGCCATTCTAATACCATTCTGACTGCAAAGTGAACTCGCCCCATTACAGCTATATCACTGAATTATTGCTCACTCACCCCAGGAAACAGAGGGGTGTCCCTGAGGTTAACATAGTTAGTAAAGCAATTTGAGGAAGCTGGGCTTATATCTGTTTACAGCGCACCGATATTTGAACAGCGGATTTCAATCTCCTGGTCTATTCTGTAGACTCTTACTGTTGTAACAACCAGGCAAGGTACCAACAAACTTCAACAGGACTTTATTTTTACAGTGGGAACCTCTTTACCAAGCTGCAGCTGCACCCTCTGTAACTCTCACTCAGCCTCCTCAACTCCTCCCCCCTCCTTCCTGTTTCCTGTCCTTTCAGACTCCCAACAGCCAGTGCTCCCAGTTCTAATAATTACAGCAGCATCTAAACACCACACTTACATCCCTGTCTTTCTTCTCTAATCACTGCAAATGTTTTGCTGAAACAAGAAACGGTAGTTCTGAGAATTTGGTACGTACCAAATTCCTAAGGCAAACCATGTAGGAGGACAGATGTCAGTGTGGTGCTTTTGAGCAGGGAAGGCATGTGCCGATCCATAGATGGACGACGTTACTGCCATTGTTTGGAGTGGTGACAAACTGTTACAATTATTATAGAGTGAGTCAGTAAAATTAAGACCCCTGAATTTGTTTGGTTCCCCCGCTCCCGTTGCAGAATGCTAAAGGCCTGATGGGGATAGTGCACATAGCCCTGAGGAAGAGGCAGGGCACCACCCGTCATGCTTGGGAGTGGGGTAGATCTAGGAGGAATTGTGCCTTTCAGGTCCCCGGCATGAAGGGGGTGCACAGCCTGCCCCCCCCCTCCTTTGGACAGTGTGGGATGGTCCCACAGGTCAACTCCATGGACCAGAAAGGAAGGAGAGGGAGGCTGTCATCCTGTCACTTCCCTATCCCCTTTGGGATGCTTGGTGCCCTGGGGAAATAGGAGGGGACAAGCACAGGCACTATTTTTGTTCCTGGCCCTAGCCCAGGGACTATCACGAGGAGGAAAAGGGCTGGAAAATGTTTATGCTTTCCTCCCTACCTTGCTACAGGACTGGGCACAACCTGGCTCTATGGCTAGTGATGACTTTCAGTGAAAGCCTTGGATCCGAATGCCCTGAGTTCCCCCACTCCTGAATTGCTCTGAATGTCAGCTTTGCAGTTCAGGCCCTTAGTAACATAGTAACGATAGCCAGTAATAATAGCCATAATAATCTGGCAGCCCTACAATATCTCATGAACACTTGCCATTGACTGAGATGAAAACGGTGGGTTTTTTTGAGGCACATAATATATCCATATGCATGTGATTAACACTGACATAAAATGTGTCTCTGTCACCAGCTGAGAAGTTCAGTGCATTGGCCTGGTTCCATTCATGATGCATACAGTGTATTTGGAGGTGTTAAATTTTTTAATAAGTGCCGGAGGCAGATTGGCAGGCCAGTGTGGGGGAAGACTGTGCTGCCTGAGTTATACCTGTTGAGTGGATAAACAGAGAGTCAATCTCCTGAGATGTCAATCCTTCCCCTTCAACCAGTACTAGAGTCACTGAAAAAATTATCGAAAGACACAAAATAAAGGTACAAATGTGTTTTCTCTTGTCAGAATAGGGAATTCAAGATGGCATCATGTACTGGAAAAGGCCCTTTCTACAATTGATATGCTGTTTCACACACCCATGAACAAATAATCTTCTAAATTTCTGCATCTTATTTGGTAAAATATTAAAACCAACAAGATATGGTTACTAGTTGGTTGGTTTCACAGTGTCTCCTAGGCAATATGTCAGCTTTGGTTTTTGCAAATTACTATACTCTATACTAATTATTTTTTTTTCTTTAATAGAATTTGTTTTGAATAGAAACATCATTTTCAATCATAAATGGCTCCTTTATCATTCTTAAAGGCATGCTTTGCATTGTGGAGTCAGTGCTCTCAACTGATGTTGGAAAAAGGTAAGACTGGCATAGTGGATACAGGTTTGGATGGCAGCTCTAGAATTTTTTTTCTTGCAGTGATAAATGAGTCTATACTGATGGATTTTTTTGCTGGCCTTTTTCTGGCATTTGGCTCACAGCTGAGCTAGTTGTCATAGCAGTAATGGGACTGCATGCGATCCTGATAAGGGGTCAGTTTACTGACAGATATTGTGCCCTTTCCTTTTTTCCATTGAATGTGAAAAATGTGCTGCTTATTTTTCAGAGAAAGACCTAATCCTCAAAATGCAGATTCAGATTTCAGACCCATCAACATTTGGGTGTTTATTTGTGGCATTTAGATATGGCCCATGATAGAAAGAGGGGTGTATCATGAAATGGATCTGGGTTTAAACTCTGAGCCTCTTTTAAAATTTGGTGTTTTGGTTCAAACTCATATTTCATTTCTATAGATACAAGAGTAAAACCCTCTAATAATTCATCTTAAGGTCTGTGGGTTTAAAAAAAAACACAAAAGGAGACTTTTTCATATTCAGGTTTGTTTGGTCTAGAAACAGCATTAGAAATCATGATCACTGACTTTTCTCTCCCCATATGCTCCCATTTCAGAAACAATACTTGTATTTCATATACATATATTACTAAACCAGACTGAATGTAGATGTGATTTAGAGGGCTTTTTCTTCAATAGTTTTGTCCTGAGTGGAATGGATGGCCCAGAGCATTGGGAGATGAGTAGTGGGATATGGCTTATTATCTCTATTACTAGGATGAATTTATCCCAGGTTGCTAGTGACCAAGTGTCATTCCCATTTGACTTCTGTGCATGAATTTGGTGGCCATAGTCTGATTCTTTGTGGACAAGTCAAGATTAACACTACTTGTCAGCCTATAGAGAGGCCCACAGAGTGTAAGCTACTTTCTTCCCCTAGGGGTACATCTACATTTGAGCTAGGAAGTGTGATTCCCAGTTCATAGAGATGTATCCATGCTACCTTTGCCTGAGGGAGTGCACTATAACAAATAGTGTAACCATGGTAGCACAGGCTGCAGCTCTGTATGTACCGGCCCAGACTCCTAGATACCTATGCAGGAAGCTAGCCAGAACTGTTGCCTGGGCTATTCTGACTACATTGCTATTTCTGCCATGCTAGCTTGAGCAGAGCTAGCACAGACACATCTGTGCAAGCTGGAAATACCTCCCAGGTCAAATGTAGACATACCCTAAGGTCAGGGTAAGGCACATTAGCAGTGTGAGGTATAGAAGGGGTCGGAGCAGCCACTGCCAGTGAGCTGCTTGTTTTGCAAACACACAAAAGATTCTAGAACCTGACCGTCATCAAGCCTGTACTTTTCTTGAGCTTTACAATTTACAATTCAATACATTTTTAAAAGCAGTGATCAGGATTTCCTCACACTATTCTCTCTCTCACTGATATATATATATATAATATCCTGAGCATGCTTAGTAGATACAGTTGAAAGTCTTCATTCTTGAGGAGCTCATTAGTAAATAGTATATTGGCTTGGAAAGTGCAGTTTTCCCCACTGAACATTTTGACTCTTCATTGAATGATCAAGAACCCCAAACCTGAAAATTTTGAGATGACAACTGCTCTGGTGAAAACTCAGAACTTTTCAAGGAAAGCAGATACTTTCACACACTTTTTGTTGGTGAAAAACACAATTAACCCAACAACAACAAAGATTAGATGGAAAATTTTGGAGCTGCCTTCATAAATACTAGTACAGGGGTCAGCAACATTCAG